CGGGTGTATCAGACCTCTGGCTATTGGTCCAGCCCAGAGTGTATTATGACCAATTAGCCAATCCACCAACTTTTACGAGGCGTCGCGTGGCGCGGCGCGATCAAGTTGTCCGCATTAACTAGAGGCCAGAAAAAAAGAAAAAACAAAAGACACCGGCCCATGAAAGATGAAAGAGTCGGCCCAGCGGGCAGTTGCCCGCTATGCCCTATGGTCAGTCCAGCGGTGCCACAGACGCGCATTTCGAGGAGCAACCAGAGCTGGGAGACCTGGGAACAGACTGTCCGAAATCTGGGGCAGAGGTTACCGAGGTAGTCAAACAACTACACAGCAGCGGAGCCCCGGGGATGGATGAGATTTGTCCTGGGTATCTCATGGCTTTGAATGTTGTGGTTGACACATCTCTGCAACATTGCGTGGTCCAGGGGCAGTTCTTGTGGAGTAGCAGACCAGGGTGGTGGTCCTCATTTTTAAGAAGGGTGACCAGAGGGTGTGCTCCAACTGTATCAACCCTAACCCTACGTTAATCAGCCTTCCTGGAAAGGCCTACTCCAGAGTACAGGAGAGGAGGGTCCGGTCGATAGTTGAATCCTGGATTCAGGAGGACCAATTTGGTTTTCGTCCTGGTCGTGGAACTGTGGACCAACTCTTTACCCTTGCTAGGGTGATGGACGGGTCATGGAAGTTTGCCCAACCAATCCACATGGGATTTGTGAATTTGGAAAAGGCTCTCCAGGGGCTCTCAATTACCAGTCGATCTATGTCCCAATCCTCACCTGTGGTCATGAGCTTTGGGTGATAACCCAAAGAACCAAATCGTGGATACAAGTGGCCGAAATGAGTTTCCTTCGCAGGGTGGCTGGTAGGGGTGGCCCTAGTGAACAGGACTATTTATAACTCCTTTATGTGTTGAGATTTTTTTTACAAAGAATTTGCAACAAAAACAAAAAAAAAATTGTGTTTTAGCATGTCACCAAGCTTCCTTCTCCATTTACTAAGGTCCTGCTAAAGTAACTCAGTGGCCTAGTGGTAGAGTGTCCGCCCTGAGACTGGGAAATCAGGGTTCGATTCCTGATCGGGTCATACCAAAGACTTTGAAAAAATGGGACCCAATGCCTCCCTGCTTGACACTCAGCATTAAGGGGTTGGATTGGGGGGTTAAACCACCAAATAGTTCCTGAGCGCGGCTGTGTCTGCAGCTCACTGCTCCCCCAGGGGATGGGTCAAATGCGGAGAACAAATGTCGCACACACACCAGTGTGTGTGACAACTAATGGGACTTTAACTTTAACTTTAACGGTGGAAACATCTTCCACCATCTCAGAGGAAAATTAAATCAGGTGTTATCTGATGTGGCTCGCCCTGTAATCGGAAGGTTGCAGGTTCGAGCCCTGCTCAGTCTGTCGCTTTCGTTGTGTCCTTGAGCAAGACACTTAACCCCCCTTGCCTGGTTGTGGTGGTCAGAGGGACCGGTGGTGCCAGTGCTCGGCAGTCTCGCCTCTGTCTGTGCGCCCCAGGGCAGCTGTGGCTACATCGTAGCTCATCCCCACCAGCATGTGAATGTGTGTGTGAAAGGGTGAATGACTGATTGTGTTGCAAAGCGCCCTTGGTGCTATTTCAAATACAGGCCATTTACCATCATTCATCTCTCAGACATAATTTCATGGGCTAAACACCATCTACCTAATTACCATTTGATATTTGTGAAGCACTTTGTGATTTTCTGTCAGTGATGAGTGCTATACAAATAAAATGTACTTACTTACTTATCATTTAGATATTTTAATTAGTATCGTTTGCATTTCAGCTAAAAAAATGAAGAAAATGTTCTGGTTATTGACATTGTTTTTGATGCTATGAATAGATGAGGTTCAAATTGGGTCAAGTTATTGCTCAAGCACTCATCTGTGCAGTGAGCTGCCAGAGGGCAAGTGTATGTAAGCATCCTGTCATCCAGTCATATATTTGTCTCTGGAGATCTGCTGCCAACTGGCTCCTCATTTCTGTGTGGCAAAATGGAGCAGAACCCCCCCCCCCCCAGCACAATTCAACAATAATGTTTGTGTTGGTCTCCTTGTTTGTGTGTGTGTGTGTGTGTGGAGTAGAAATGAAAATGTACGGTTGGAGCATCACATTTGCATGGATTTCAGTGTGTAAAATTTTGACTCTGTTAATGGCCTCGCTTTAATCTACAATGGCAACAAAAGCAGAATATTTACGAGTAATTTCAGTCTATGTCCACTTTTTCTACTTCTTCAAATGCAAGCTTATTCTTGTGACTTGGTGTCTCATGTGTGTCAATTAAACAGTCGCTCACTTCGTGCTTAACCTCACGCGCACCTTCAAGTGCAACACTTCAATCCAGCCAGCAGGTGAAATCAAAACAACATAGATATTAAATTAAATATTAAGTTTTAACATTTAAATTGAACAAAATGAGAATGAATAACCACATCTAACTGTGATAGCTACATCAGGTTAATATCAGTTTAAATTAGTATTATTTTCAAAGAAAGACGAATATTCTAGGTAGATTATGGAATCACAGATCAATATAGATTCTGATCATGTTTTGGAGTGTTTTCTGTTGGAAATAAGGAAAACAAACTGACTAAAGGTTTTTCATACAAGACATGCTTACCATATTGTTTCTTGAAGTGGCATTCGCAAAATTTAGGGTCAGCTAACAATTTTGGATTAAATCTGCTGGTTCGATGATGTCAAGAGGCAATTTGTTTATTTATTTGTTTGTTTGCTTCAGGTTGCTGTCTCAGCTGATTTTGCTCAAAAGCAAAACTTAGGGGCCATGTTTACTTTAATTTTAAATATAGTTGCAGGTCGGAGCTCAGCATTAATTCCCTACGTCATGACACCTCCCTCTGTTGCGCTAAGGCACAATCGCCATTTATAAGTCAGACAATTACCGCTATATTAACACTAGGCGAGGTGGAACAAATGCTGCAAAATTTGTGCATCGCCATGCTGGCAAAAGCGCAGTGGCAAGTGGAAACCCTTCAATCTTTCAGAGTGTGGAAGACTTCTGGTTATTTCATTTGGAGAACTTTTTCCTGATTTTAATACTTTGGCTGAAGTAGCTTTCTTTGTTCAACAGTGGAGTGTGGATTCATCCAGAACAACATTTAAACCAGTGGCGGCTTAACCATAGGGGTGCTAGGGTGCTGCCCCACCAGTCGCACAGGAAAACAAAACAACGCTGACATCAATGGACCGACAACACAGAGCGACACAGAAAGGGTTATATACCCAGGAGCTGGTTGATAGGAGATGAGGGGCAGGTGTGTGGGGAATTGGGCACAGGTGAGAACAATGAACTGAGGAGAAGCAGAAATAAGCAGGGGAAGGTGTCAGCCTGGGAGTCATGACATCCTGTTCCTTTTGGGTGCAGCAATCTCTACCATAGACCCTACACTAACCTGCGCATGAGCACTGCCCCCCCCCCCCCCCCCCCCCCCAAAAGAAACAAAGGATAGGTGAGTCATTGGACACAGGGGTATAGCAGCCGTGAAGACACGTGCAGAATACCAGCAGGGCAGAGTCTCAGCTCAGGTCAGGACAGAACCAGAAATTCTCCACCGCTCACTGTCCTTTGTCGTTATAGAGCAGCTGAGTACACATCATGGAGTTTCGTTATCATGGGAACCGGAAAATTATGGAAGGTGACATCAGAGACTTTTGAACACTCCTGCATGTAAAAAAGTGATTTTTTCTTTTTTACTATAACATGGATTAAAAAACAAAATTTTTTATTAAATCATGGATTTGTTCAACTGGTCAGTCAACGTGATTGCCAAAATTTTTTCAGTAATGAGGATGGAGCGGGGCTCCAACTTGTCCAGATAAAATGCACCCGGTGGGGTATATTTTGGATTCGTGGAAGGAGTGGAATATTATATGCCTTTCACAGCTGTCCATGTAGGACATTAAAGACGCATGGATTTTTGGCCTGATAATTACTGGAATTTTTCTAATTGGTGTGGGAGGATTTCTGGTATTTAGGAAAATTTGTAAGTCGCGGGTGGTTAGAGTGCCACCTGTACCCATGAAAGTCTCAGCCGTTTGGAGACTGCTCAGACTGGGACTCGGCTCTAGGTGAATAGAATCACAAGCTAGCTGCAATCAGGGTGTTACTGCGAAAAATGGATGTGATCTTGGAGAAAGTCACTGCACTGTATATGGGCAAGTTTAAACCCAATATTTGGGTTTACTGAGAGACTGAATGATCAGTTAAAAACTGAAAGGCAGATAGACAATGATCTCTGCCTGCCGCAAAACAATTCTTATCTGAATCTGGCACCCTGGTAGCCTTGAGCTGCGAGAAGAAATAAAAACTTCCAAGAAGGAATGCCAACATGCTGTGAAACCCGCCCTGCCTTCAGATTGGTGGTCTTAGCCTGGCGAGGTCATCAACCAAAGGAGTCAATGGTCCCTTCACACCCTTGATTGTCCTCCCACCTATGTTTCAACAGTGATCGAGCACATTCTCTGGTGGAAAAGAGGGTCCCAAGCTATTTTTAATACATTTATAATGTGTACACTGTTCTAATCTGTGTTTCTCCTGAAAACGCTTTGTTTTGACTAGAAATATGATGGAATTATTAACCCTCCCAAATTGTTAATGGGGTCAAATGGGGTCAAAAATGAATGGAAATTTAACAATATTGAATGATTATCTTCCATTATTTTAAAATGATGTGAAAATGGATCGTACAACCTCTGGCTGAGAACAAATGCAACCTCCTTAAGAGTGCTTCCAAATGCAGCAGCGATTCAACTTATTTCCTAATCTAACTCGTAAGAAACCCAGTAGCCTATGTTCAGAAACAACGTTTTTGCTTAAATAAAGTACCACAAAAGTGGGCACTGCAGGGAAACCAAGACGAGGCTTCCTTTTAACACTTAAACAATGTTTAATATGGGTTGTTTATTTGCTCTACCAAACTACAACTACTAAATTAAACAAAAAGAAAAATCTAAGTTTTTTTTCCAGCAAACATATGTGCTGTGCTTCCATTAAAAAATAAATCAGTGTTTGGACTTCTTCTGTGTTTGCAAATCAGTTTGTGCGTCATGACATCAAATGCTGTCACGTTTAGGAGAGGAGGTTGGACCCAGGATGCAGAAGTACCCAGAACGAGTCAAAGGCTGGAGAGGTTTTAAGAAAAACAATTCCTTTATTTAAGGAGGATGTGCCGAAAAGTCCAAAGCACCAAAGAAGACTAACACTCAAAAACTTGAAAACTCAAAATTAACAAGCTCACACATGAGCATGGACTCAGAGACTCGAGAGGGGAATGAACAACGCAACACATACAACAATGACCCAACCAACACTGAAGGACAAGACAGACTTTTAACACAGAGGAAAGCAATCAGGGGAACAGGTGACAGGTGAAATCAATTAACTACATGGGAAGGGAAAACCAAGCAGAGGGGAAGATAACATAACCTATAAAAACACTAAATAACTAAACCTAGAAACTAGAAACTAAGGGCAAAGATAAACAACTAATGACAAGAGTAGAAAGGGAGACTAACACGTGGGGAAGGACACAAACACTAAAGGGAACTAATAAAATGAAAAGCTGAACCTGTAGAAAAAAACTACAGAGGGGTGACTAGGGGAGACCTGAGAAGCTGGGAAACACCAGGAGGCACATGAGGAGAACGCAGAGGACAAACAGGAGGGGCTGGGGACACAGAACGTGACAAATGCATGAATTATTCACTCAACGTCATTTACTGGACAGACGATTGGTAATGGGAAAAAATTATCCAAATCGCCCTGCCCTACTCCTGACCTAGAGTCTTTTATTGAGATGCTGTGGATTAAAGTTTTTTTTTCTTTACAATTTTATTGAGTTTAGCTGAATTTGATCTCTTTTTTTTATCTGCAAACAAGCTAGGTTTTGAATACAAACACAGTCATGGAACACTCACCTCTCCCCATCGGCTTCCCTGTTTTGCTGGAACCGGGAACCTGCATTGCCAGTGGAAACAGTGTTTTTGTTTTTGGGACTCTTGTAGTTTGCTCTAAAGTTGAAGTGGTAGCAGTAACCTGTTTCTGCTTCTCTGATATTACTGAGCAGAGAGCCTCTCACACCAGTGGTGTTTTGTTTATTTTTTGCAAAATATGCACGTGCATAACGAATGGAGGACCCAGGAAAGTGACTGTCTGAGCAAGACAACTGGATGGTTCATTGATTGTTTTAGGTCAGAAATGTGTTATTGGCAGAGATTTCTTGACAAATGTGAAAGAACCACTTTTTCATTTTTTTTAAATCTCCATAATATATTTATAGCTTTACTATATTAGAACATTGTTAAGAGGCATGAAAAAAATATTTTAAGCTAATTTCTTTTCCAAATTCATAAAAAATTTGGAAAACAAAATTAACTTCAAACATTTAAACTACATAAATGGTGACACAAATGGGAAATAAGCAGCAAAAACAGTTGGATTAAGATAAATTCAAGAAAGAAAGAATCTCTGTAACAGTACATTACAAATGAGAAAATGTTTCTATTGTTATAAATCGTGAAGTATTTAATTTTTGATACACTAAGGCCTAAGAAAACTGAACAACTCAGTCTTGATTGCGCTGGCATCAGTGCTGAATGACATATAACAGAAAGCGTCATCAGTAGTGGGACTCTGCGATGTCACCATGTGCGAAGAAATGGGTCAGACAGAGAAGCCACTCACTTTAGACAATGAGTTCCTAGTGTCCATTGTTCTAAAAGCCATTATTCTTATGCATTAATAACACATTTTTCTTTCTCCACATCCTTGTAATAATGGCTGTCAAGTTTTTGTTCTTGAAAGCTTTAATATTTGTGGGTGTTTAAGCATGGGACTGGGGTCTTGGACACTTGGACACTGATTCTGGGGGTGAGTTGACATAATTTACTGGTGACTCTAAGGAGCTGAGTGTACTTTGTCTGCTAGAGCAGATACTTTAACCCACAGGCTGAGAGTATTTTTTGAGACAATTGGAGTGTGTTTTGATTTCTTTAAGGAGCTGAATATGGGAACAGTTGTAAGGTGAGCAAAGACATCAAATAATGATTTATCAGAGGTCTATTTCATTACAGATACATACAGTAAGGGTAATTGCACTATCTGTAGAGAACCTTCTTACCCCTCAGTGGAGTTATTTAAAGCTGATTTGAGGAGTGAAACTGTTGCTGTTTAAAGATTCAAATCAGGATGACGTGTTTGGAGAGATATCGCTGAGCTCTGACTCGATGGAGTCATCCATACCAAAATAAGGAAATTAAATCAGAGCACAGGAGTCAAAGAAAGAGATGTTTGACCACACAGCTGCTGCCAGAACAGTAACAATCATTTTGAAGCTGTTAGGACCATTCTCTCCATTGTGGAAGGTTAAACTTTCTCTCTCTCTCTGAGTGTGTGTGTGTGTGTGTGTGAGAGAGAGATAGGTTGATTTTATTTTTATTGGAGAACAATTACAATAATTTCAAATATTTGTTATACATTATTGTTGGAATACAAATATGTGGCTGCATTTATCTTTTTAGGAGGTAAATGAGTTGACAAAAAAGGATTGTTGTGATTAGTTTCATGAAAATTATTCTGGAATTTGATCATTTTGACAATTTTATTCTAATAAATAGGACCTGTAGAACACTGATCTTTTGAAGTGATGCTTTTTAAAATATTATTCCTTTGTTCTTATCTAATTTCTTTTCTTTTTCTCTGACACTTCCTTTTAATTTTCTCATCTTTTTCTAATTTTTTCCACAGCAAGAAGAGAAAACCCAAGTCAGCTAATTTAATCTCATCACAGCAGAATCTAAACTCCCGCTCAACCATGGCAGACCACAAGTAAGTTTATTATGGAGCCTCATTTTAAATACTACTCATGAACCCACACAGTTTGAGGATAGTTTAATGGATGGATTATGCTCCAATCACTGAGAACAGGACATTCACATTGATTGGCTGAAGTTTTTCCAGGGTTGTACATAAAAATTTTGTTATTAGTTGCCGTCGGTATGTGAAGAGCATTTCAAGCAATATGGCAAACAATTTTCCAGAAAATCTCCTACCCCACCTTTAATACAAATCTTTAAACCAAAATGGATAACGATCCAAGTCCTTCCCTACTTTACCCTTTACATTACAGTTCCATTTTTGTGTTCACACTCGTGTTTCTCTTTGAACTTCATGCTTATTTAGTGTGGCTGATTTTTAAAGTTAGCAGAGTTCAACATTGCTCATCTTGTATGGAACAGCAGTCGAGCATAGCTGGAAGTTTCTCACAGGAAGCTGTGGCAGGACGTTTTTTTTAATGTATGGAAGTCTGTTCACTCACCCATTCACCGCTGACGTCAATTTGTGCATTCCGATGTTCCTAGATTATCCTCCAATCATCCAACTGAAATCAATAAGTCTACCTTATTTTTTCCCTATCCCCTGTTGATTCTGATGGAATATGTCTTGGGCACTCAGGTATTAAAAGTAACTACAGTGGGTATGGAAAGTAATCAGACCCCCGTCACAAAATATTAAAAAACAACCCTTGGGTTGGGTCGCCTTGAGGATTGGGTCCTGACATGTATGCTGCTGGGAAGAAGGCGGGAACATAAGGCAGTGCCTGGCCCAAGCTCAGGGGCCTCAGGTGGACCATGGCTCCTCTGAAATAATAATTCTGTCCCATCACGGGGAGGGGGATGTCCAGGAGGGGGAGGACCCAACCTTACCTGGATGTCTTATGTCTTATATATTCTGGAAGTTGTGCAAATGCAGGGATGGGAGTAGATATTCTGTTGGGTTGGTGCCCTCGGACTACGTGAGGCTCTGTGATGCTGCTGCTTTGGGCCCTGGTGAGATGGGCTGGGGTCTCAATGTCCTGGGTGGCATTTTGGGAACAGAGGTGCCTATTGGGGCCAGTGGGAGAGCTGGCTCCCTGGAGGGCTTAGGCCAACCAGCCATTCCTCCTCATCCCCATACGTTTTTCTCCTCCTTCTCCCTCACATCATCACACAAACATGCACATAGGACCTTGGGAGTGCAACATCCAGAAAGGGTCAATTTTCACCTACATATTGACCTACACAATGTCCGATCTTCTACAGACATAATTCCACTATCTGAGTGGAGTTTCTATTCTGACTTCTAAAGCCCAGAAGATTCTGCAGTGCTTGTTGACATTTCAGCGGGGACAAGATGTCAGCCTATGTTCCCAAACAAAACTGTCTTTTGATAAGACTGCAGGATTGCACACTCTCATGAAACACTCGGCCGGCTTGAGGGTGGGATGCTGCGGGCGGGCCTGTGGGCTTGCCGCTGATATCCCCCGGGACTCTGACGGCTGCTGGTTGTGGCCCCCCGGGGCAATCCTCTGCACCTCTCAAGGGGGGCAGGGGCTTTTCTGGTTGCAGTCTCCCTGGGATCCCTGTGTTCTGGGGCAGCTCCTGGATCTCTGGGTCTTGGAGCTCCTTCCATCTCCTACACATCTTTGGGGGGCAGATCTGTGGTCCCTCACACTCTCTATTGGACACTGCTATAGAGAAACCTTACATATACAAGCGCGTGTACACACACAGGTGCTCACATGGATGCATGGTGGCGCAGTGGTTAGCACTGTTGCCTCGCAGCACGAAGGTTGCAGGTTCGAAACTCGGCTGCGGCCTTTCTGCGTGGAGTTGCGTGTTCTCCCCATGCGTGCGTGGGTTTCCTCCGGGGTGCTCCGGTTTCCCCCACAGATCGCAACATGCCCTATAGGTTATAAATTGTAAGTCGCTTTGGATAAAAGCATCTGCTAAATGAATAAACATAAACATGGTGCTCTCATAAGTATCGACTTGGGCATTTTCAACACATCCTAAGGCGGTGGTGGGCACTTAATGCACTGTGATTTATTATCGTGTGATTGTTCAGTTAAACAATGTTGATTTTATATTTCCTCATCAGGTTGACGCAGTGATTGCTTGCTCTTGTTGTATTGTTGTGTCACTTTTATTAGTTTATTTTTCTCTTTCTGCATGTCTAGAAGCAGATTCTTGTTCATCATTGATTATTTTTGTGGAGCCCCCCCCCCCCCCACCCCCCCCACCCCCCCGGTTTTTTCTGGTCAGAATTATAAAGCATCAAAAAACAATAACAATAAAGTTTTAAGTATCAGGCGTGACATTAAAACAGAAGCTTTGATGCTCCACCTGAGAGTAAATCTGTAAGGCTTGTCACCAGCATTCAGACATCCATTCTGTTTGCTTCACAGCCAGACAGGACACATATTGCATTGGAAAGAAATCTGGCTGCAGCATTCTGGACTTTCTGCAGACGATTTAGGACAGATACATTTACACCAATTAGAACGGAGTTGGAAAAGTCAAGTCTGGAAGTGATAAATGCATGGATAACTAATTCTGTGTGGCCTCTTAAGAATAGGCTTTAGTCGTGTAAGGCGACGAAGCTGGAAGAAGCAGGATCTAACAGTGGCATTAACATGTGCACTCATTGGCAAGTCAACATCCAGTTTAACCCCAAGGCTGGTCACACATGAATTAAGGTTTAGGGGGGAGAGGTCAAAGGCAGCAAAAGCATGCAGATTATGTTTTGGTTTGAAAAGAATGGCCTCGGTCTTATTGTCATTGAACTTCAGGAAATTGGAAGCTAGCCAGGTTTTAATTTCTGAGAGACATTCTGATAGCTGAGTAATGGAACTTGATTGATTTAAAGCCATATAAATTTGACAGTCATCAGCGTAAATATGATAATGTAGGCCATGTTTAGCAATGATGTTTCCCAGTGGAAGAATATATATAGAAAAGAGGAGTGGACTTAGAATAGAGCCCTGGGGAACTCCCCAGGGGAGCGGGACAAAAGGAGAAGAGCAATCGCCATGTGAATGTAGGGATGGGTACCGAATTCGGTACTTTTTAAGGTACCGACCGAATTCCATAGTACCGACCGAGCACCGATTCACTTCATTTGTGTCAAGTTTTCCCCTGTCCAGCTTCTGTCCAAACTTGAAAAGGACTGGTTCCACCACAAAAAGTGAGCTAGGAAACAACTCATTATTTTCTCGGTTTATTTGAGGTAAATCAGGTACTTGGGTAATCAGGTACCAAGGAAATCAGGTTGAAAACCTTCAAACAGAAACAGATTTATATGATTACAAACCAAAAGAATAAATTATCTTGTCTAATCTAAGCAGGTAATGTCATGTAACTTTATTTAACAGTAGAATGTTGTCAGATCCATACCAGTAGCCTCTTTGTGGTTTCCCCCAAGCTGAACAGTCTTTTCTTTTCTTTTTGCTGCATCTGCTTCCCTTCTGAGGTGCAGACTGAATTTGTTTGTATCCTGCAGACAGGTGCTCTCACTCAGCTGATGAGCTGATCAGACAGGAACTGGTCAGACAGGAATGGTGGTGGTGTTACTCGGCCTCCAGGGGGTGCAATTACTGACTGGCTGACTGATCTGACTTTGAGCCTGACACCTCCCACTTGAGCTCCTGGTTCTTGAACCCAAGGAGGTCACAACTGTTATGTCCAAATAATATAGCGCAGAGGCTGATCTTACTATGGTGACTTCAGAATCTCCTTCACCATTGATCCACTCTCTCCATCTCTTGCATCCCCAGTGACATTTTGCTCTTCTACAGGAAGCAAGATGACGATCCGCCTGACATCTCTGTGAAGAACTGTAGCGGGGATCTGGGTGGGATGTTCCCTCTTTGTGTTATTGTCTCGTTTTCCAGGTCTCACAGACGTAACTGGGTAACTTGGGAATGTTTTGACATTGACATCCCTTACAACTCCCTTCCTGTCGGCATTGACACTGATCACCCTGGCAAGCCTGTATTGGTTTCTCAAGGCATTCTGGTCTGCCACCCAAACGATGTCGCCAACTGCAACATTGCGTTCCTTTGTGTGCCACTTACTTCTGACGAATAGGTTGGGTCCAGCCAGTTGGCTCCATTTTTTCCAGAACCTGTTGACTTCTGCCTGAACCACCCTTAGCCTCTTGTAAGGGTAGTTGTCAAAGTTAAAGTTTCCTGTATCTCCCTTAGGTCCAGCCCTACCAAGGAGCAGAGAGTTTGGGCTGAGGTATTCAATACTGTCCTCCCGACTCTGAGTCCTGGCATCTATTGGCCTTTCATTAGCCAGGTTCGCTGCCATGTAAAGGAATGTTTGAAACTCTCCCCACGTGAAGATTCCATCTCCCGCTAGGTTATGCAGGGCTCTTTTTATGATCTGAACAGCTGCTTCAGCAGCTCCATTCCTGTGAGGTGAGTCTGCTGGGTGGATTGTCCAGCTCCAGTCTGTCCCATGTTTGGTGGCCTCATTCTCTAGATCTGCCTTCTCTAACTGGTCCAGATACAGGTAAAGTTGTGTGAATTCAAATGGTCTGGCCGGCTGTGTTCGCTCCATTGGAAGATCCCCCATGATTTGTTGGCATCTTCTAGCTCTAGCTTTTCTGCATAACACACAGTTGTCCACAACTTTCTTAGCCAACTTCCGGCCTCTCACAACCCAGGCCCTTTTCCTCATTCGTAGGAGAGTTCCTGCAATCTCCTCATGATTCATCCTGTGAGCTTCCTGAGCTAGAAGTGTTGATATCCAGGCTTCATAAGGTAAGATTGGTACTGCGGTTCCCTCTTCATTGAAGATCTGGATTCTTCCTCCACACACTAGCAGCCCTGACTCCCTTTCTTTGAATACAGCCAGTCGGTTGAGGGTAGAGTCATGAAAGGTGACTCCATCCTGGGCTGCAAGGCAAAGGTCTCGATAAGAATCTTTAAACTAATTTGCAGACAGTACAGCTTGCTTGGCTTTGGTCTTGATGTCCTCCTTTGGTAAAACGACCTCCCACTTTAGCTTACCGACTGCTGGGCGCTTCCATCTTGAAATGGCTCTCCACACCCAGGCAAGGACTCTGACTAGTTTGGTCAAACTACTGAACTTTCTCTCATCAACAAGTAGTCTGACTGCAAACCCAGCCGGAGGTCTGTGGATTGGAATGTCCTCCAGACTATTAGAAGTTTCTGGACAAGTCGCTGGTTTATTACATGCAGTGATTTGCTGTGCATTATTCTGACCTGTCTTTGCTTGCGCTCTGGTCAGTACTGCTGAGAAAGCTTTTCTTCGTAGTTTATTTATGCTCTCCTTGGCATTGGCTGCAACTTCTTTAGCCGACTTTTTTGGCCATTCTTCCACAGACTGTTTCAAGAAATAAGGTCCGTTTTGCCATTCTGAAACCTCATTGAGATCCTCTGGAGTAGCTCCTCTTGTCAAAATATCAGCAATGTTCACATCACCAGGAATCCACCACCAGTCCTCTAGAGACCCAGCCTTCTGAATTTCACCAACCCTGTTGGCATAGAAGGTTTGGTATCCATAACTGTTCCGATGAATAGCTCCTAACACAGTTTGACTGTCCAGTAGGTGGAACCATCGCTCAATTTCCATTCGGCTATGTTTTTCAATATATTTTCTGAGCCGGGTTGCAAAAACGTCCCCACAAATCTCTGCCTTGACTGGTTCCCCCTTTTGGTCCAGTGGTGTGAGTTTTGCTTTTGATTCGACCAATCTGACCTGGACGCCTTGCTTGGTCTCCCACCTGAGGTACACTACAGCTCCAAAGCTCTTGTCACTCCCATCGGAGAAGGTTACTCCCCAAGGTTTTCCAATCCAGCCAGTTGGTGTGAGGCTCCTAGGGAATGTGATGTGGCCAACACGCACATACTCCTCAAATAGTTTGATGGCTTCTCTCCTGAGGTCCTCAGAGAGTGGCTTGTCCCAAGTGTCTCTGATCAGATCTCCACTTGCTGCCTCTTGGAATGCTTTCCTGACAAGTATGGCTCCTTTTTGCTTGATAGGGGAGACTAGCCCAATAGGGTCATAAAGGCCAGCCACTTGACTTAATAGGTCCCTTCTAGTTAGTGGGTCAGGAGTCCTTTCTTTCACTTCCTCTTCAAGGAGGTCTTGGCCAGTCCTCATCTTCTTTTTCCTTCTTGAGAAGTTGATCGACGATAATATATACAGTTTGTCCTCCTGGACCATGTATCCAATCCCAAGGGCTCTATTGTCACCTTCTTTCATCTGATTGGGAAGTATCACAGCTTTCCTTGTTGGGTTTGCTGATCCAGGTTCACCTGGCTCCTGGTTTATCTGCCGCTCACCTTGCTCTGACAGAATCCATGGCTTGAGAAAAAATCCCCCTGCTCTCAGAATGTCCTCAACATTTTTTATGATCTCCTCCAACCTTTTGGAGTCATTGTGAGATGTCAGGATATCATCCACGTAACTGTCCTCTTCTAAAACTCTACACTCCTCTTGTAGGTGAGCAAACATTGGTAACCTTGCAGTCTCCCGCATAGCCAGCTGTGCTATGCATCCTGCTGGTCGATCTCCCATGTTTACTCTGGTGATCACATACTCTCCAATCTCCTCTTCCTGAGTATCTCTCCAGAGAAATCGGTGAAGGTGCATCTCTTGGTCTTCCAACCACACAGAGTTGTACATCTTTTTGATGTCCCCCAGAGCTGCTACACTTCCCTTTCTGAACCTGAGTAAGACTGCCCGGATTGGGTTAAGGACATCAGGCCCTTTTAGCAGGAGATCGTTCATACTTAGTCCCTGGAACCTTTGGCTGCTGTTCCATACGATGCGTATAGGTGTTGTTAAAGAGTGGGGGTTTGGTGCAATTAAGTGGCTCACATACCAAACTGGCCCTTTCCACCCATCCATTAACTCCTTGGTGAGCTTCTTGGCTGCTCCTCTTCCAAACATCCCATGTATCTGGGTTGCATAGGCAGCCCTCCACTTAGGATCTTTCTTAAGCTGTCTCTCCGTTCTCCGAAAGGTAGCTTCTACCCCACTCCGGTTATTGGGAAGCGAGGTTGGGTCTTCGATCCAGGGGTATTTTGAATCCCAGTGTGGTGCATCACTGTGGGCATCAGCTTTGACATGTGTGAGCCCTTGTTTTATGATTTCAAACTCCCTTTCTTCATTCAATGTAATTTCCTTTCCTCCTGGATGACAGCTGCCACAGCGACATCCACCACACTTTGGTTCACAGGCTGTCCCAATGCTGTCCCATTTCCACCACTCTAGAAACTCTCTGGCAGTAACTGTGGTCTCAGCATGCTTCTCTCTTGTCTCCTTGATCTCTTCATACTTCCTTGCAGCTGTTCTCATTGAGCGAGCAAAGTGCGTTTCGGAACGATGTGCTGTGATGTCCACCTCCTCAAAGAGATCTGGATGAGCTCCTCCCACAACTTTCCCCAGCGAGCTGTCCCACAAGACTAGATCCCCAACAACTTTCACTCTCTGTGGAGCAAGTCGACCTTCACGGTGGCTGATGAGTAGATCAACGCTCTCCGGTCTCTTCAAGTCCTCCAGCGCAGTTTCTGGGAAGAATCTCCTCAGCCGCTCAGGTTCAATAACTTTGTGGACTTCGGCTATTTCACGCAGACCATAGCAGATGAGTTCATGAGCTTTTTCTGTCCCTCTGGGTGTTCTGATCCTTACCCTGAGTAGATATCGTCTGGTGTTAACCTTCATAGCCATTCCTCCAACTCCATGGACGACCAAAACGATTTTCTCACTCCTCAGTTTCAATCTTTTAGCAGCTCTGTGTGTTATATAATTAGTGTCCGATGCCAAGTCGATCAGAGTCCCTATCTTCTGACCTGCATTGGTGGTGACTTCTAGAAGCATCATAATGACTGGTAGCTCTTCCAGGCCGTTTGCATCCATTAATCCCATCTTCTCTCTTCCTGGGTTGTTTGGGTTTGCAGTCAAGTTTGTAAACGCTCGTCTGCACTTCTCTACCATTTCTGGGGAGAGTTCAGCCATGAATTTTTCCTGTTCTTCGGTAAGCTTGGGATTTTTCTTGCCGTTTTTTCCACCTTTGTCTTCCCCGCTCCTTCTGTATTCTCCTCAGGGGCAGAGGAAAAAGTGGTGATCTGACAAGCTCCCCTTTCCGCAGTCTTTGTTTCTGCACAGGTAGTTGCCTAAACAATCATCCTCTTCTCTGTGGCATCCTAAGCACCGCTTACATGCTCCCAACTTCTTAATGGCATTCATTTTCTCAGGCAGCTTCAGTTCCTTGAACCTTTTGCAGAAGAATATTTTTTCCTTATGTCTTTCATCTCCACAGACGACACATCCTCCCTGTTTAATGGAGCGTGTGGAAGCAAACCTTTTTTCAATCTTACTCTCTTGCCTATCTGGCTTCTCAGTTACTCCAAGTTGTTCCAATTTCTCCAGAATTTCTTCTTGAGTTTTCAGGAACTTGAGAAGGTTATCAAAATGATTGTCTGGTGTGACATTGTTGTGAGCGTTCACCATAAACACAAGCCAATCTTTCTTTACAGCCTCTGGTAATTTGCATTCAATAGACTTTGTTACCAGAGGGTTCTTAATGGCACCCACATCTCCAAGCTCCGTAAGGTCAGCCAGAGCTTTTTCCACCATTTGGATTAAGTCAATAACCTTTCTTGGCTGGTTTGCTTTTACTGTGGGTGTTTTCTGAAGTTCTTCAATTATTTCCAAGGCGATAGTAGATTTATTGCCAAATCTGTTTTCAAGGACCCTGAAAATTTCTTGAGCCGTATTGTAGGTTGATAGATGTAGGTCTCTGGAAATTTTTCCATCGATGCTGTCCAGAAGTTGTATTTTTTTCACTTCCACTGAGCCAGTGGGTTCTCCTTGCCTTTGTAGACTTTCCCAGTCTTTCTTCCATCGGTGAAACTCTCTTTTACATCCATAAAATCTGGGCAAATTTGTTGGCTGTATTCTCACAATGGGCATAGGGTGAGTGGCTGGTGTAGTAGCCATGTTGTTGGCCACTGGTGCAGCAGCTGCTGCCACATCTGCATCTCTTTTGTCCTTTGCAATTTTTCCTGCGATTGCAAACTCTACTCTCTTTGCTTCAAGCTTGTTCTTCATGAGCTTTAGATCTCTTACCCGGCCTTCCAGCTCAGGTCGCTCTGCGGCTGGAATCCACATCTCCCACGATGCTAGGGTCTCAGCAGCTTCCTGGACCAGCTGTCTCATGAATGCGATTTGTACTTCATATCCATCTTGGTTTATAGTGCTGACTGGCATTGCCATTGCCTCCTCACATGATTTTTCTGCTTCCCGGATTGCAGTTATCAGCTCAAGTCCATAGCTTAACCATAATTTGTCTTGAATTAGGGCTCTGACTTCATCCAACTTTGTCTGACAGTCGTTCTCAGTTTTCACCAGGTCAGCCTCCTGCTGCTTGCCAAGCTCTTCTCCATCTTCAGCCTCGAGGTCTGCTAATAAGCCAGCTTTATAGTCATCATTTGACTCACAGAGACGTCTTGCTGCACATGTGAGTTTCTTGAACTCCTCTTGTAGTTCACCCTTCATCATGTTTTCCACTTCTCTTGTGAGGGGATTAGCTGCTTTGGTGAAAGTACTTTTAGCCATGGTTCTTTCTCTCTTCAGCTGACTCACTGATTTCCCAAAAGCTTCTTCTGCCATCTTGTTTGAAACAACAACTTATAATCAAGAACGTAGTCCAGGCTTTATTTGTCTTTATTTTCCTCTGCTGTTGAAACAGCTTTTTCTCTTGACTCAGGCCTTTGATCCTTCACCGTGAATGCAGTGGTTTTCAACTGTCAAGTTTTCCCCTGTCCAGCTTCTGTCCAAACTTGAAAAGGACTGGTTCCACCACAAAAAGTGAGCTAGGAAACAACTCATTCTTTTCTCGGTTTATTTGAGGTAAATCAGGTACTTGGGTAATCAGGTACCAAGGAAATCAGGTTGAAAACCTTCAAACAGAAACAGATTTATATGATTACAAACCAAAAGAATAAATTATCTTGTCTAATCTAAGCAGGTAATGTCATGTAACTTTATTTAACAGTAGAATGTTGTCAGATCCATACCAGTAGCCTCTTTGTGGTTTCCCCCAAGCTGAACAGTCTTTTCTTTTCTTTTTGCTGCATCTGCTTCCCTTCTGAGGTGCAGACTGAATTTGTTTGTATCCTGCAGACAGGTGCTCTCACTCAGCTGATGAGCTGATCAGACAGGAACTGGTCAGACAGGAATGGTGGTGGTGTTACTCGGCCTCCAGGGGGTGCAATTACTGACTGGCTGACTGATCTGACTTTGAGCCTGACAATTTGAAACGGTGCCTTGTTTCGGTACCCGTCCTTCACAACGAGAACTTGCCTAGACAGCTGCGCATGCGCAAGAGCGTTATGTCATCAGTCGCTGCGAGCCAGTTGTAAACAGAGCAGCATGGTAGAAAGAACGAACGCTAAAGCTTGGGTCCACTTCACTAAATGTGATGGGTAACTGGGTGATGATGAAACCAGCGACAATGATCTAAGTGAGACATCCTCATCTACTCCAGTAGGTAAATAAAATGTTTAAGATAACGTTAGCTTGATTTGTTAGCTTCCGTTTCACTAATGGTGCATTAGCTTTCTCCTCGGAACTCCGAAATTCCGACTAGAAGAACATGAACGTGCACTAAAGTTTGGATTCACTTTACTAAATGTGACGGGTGATTGGATGAAGATGAAACCAGTGACAAAGATTTAAGTGTGAGGCATCATCGTTTAAATCTGCTCCAGCAGTTAAATAAACAGTTTAAGATAACGTAGCTTGATATGTTAGCTTCCATTGCCACCATTGTTATCATCTAATGGTGCGTTTGCTTTCTCCTCGGAAATTCTAACTTCCCAGTAGGAAAAATCAATTGAAAAAGGACGGTAAAAGGAATGAAGATACACAGTAAATTTAGTTCACAGTAAAGATGTTTGCTTCAGTTTAATTATCAGCTTATAAAACTACAAGGACGATGTTAAAATACAAACAGTTGTGTGTTATTTATCGTGATATTTATCAAATATGGTTATATATTGAGAAAAATATGTATTAATTATAAAAGAGAATTAAAATATTAAACACTCAAAAGTATTGAAAATTGGTACCATTAAGTACCGGTATCGATTCGTATGTACTGGGAATTAGTACCGAATCGATTCAAATGTCAAAGGTACTGCTGAAACTCCTGTCAGACAGATAGGAGTGAAACCAATTTAGCGCAGTCCCAGTGACTCCAACAAAAGATTTCAGCCTAGTTAGCAGAATGTTATGGTCAACTGCATCAAATGCCGCTGATAGGTCTAGCAGTAGTAACAGAACAACGGAACCAGCATCAGTTTCTGTCAGAATGTCATTTAACATTTGACACATGAATATGTGCAGACTCGGTTCTATGATTTGGCCCAAAAGCAGACTGAAAATGGTCAAGTAGTGAATGTTCCAGTAAATGATGTGAGAGTTGAGCATGTACCACTTTTTCAATAACCTTAGATAAAAAAGGAAGTTTGGAGATTGGACGGAAACTTGCACAGTCATTTTGATCCAGGCCAGGTTTTTTCAATAGCGGTTGGACGACCGCCTTCTTAAAGGATTCTGGAAACACTCCCGATGACAAACTGTAATTTAAAATACTCAGAATAAAAGGACCCACTACTGGTAGAACCCCAAGTAGCAGCATTGGGGGGAGAACATCCAGTGGGGAACCTGAGGGTTTCATGGACTTGATTAATTTATCCAGATCGTAAAGGGAGACAGGATCAAAATCAGAGAATGGAGGAGAACGGAGTGACTCTTTCTGGGTAACAGGTCCCAACAGATTATGTCTAATAGTACTGATTTTTTCTAGGAAAAATTCTGAAAATCAGTGCATAGTGCTATAGTTGGTGTGGAGGGCGTGGTGGATTCCTTTAGTGAAAGAACAGAGTTAATGGTACTGAAAAGCTTGCATTGAGCACCACAATGCCTCTCAATGATGTTGGCAAAATAATTATTTTTAGCTGATCTGGCAGCTTTTTGGTAAGCTGCCAGGGAGTCTTTCAGCATTTGTAGGGAAATTTGTAGCTTGTCCTTTTAGCAGCTGTTTAATCCTGACGTGATCAAACCCATTGAATCCTGATAAGAATAATAAATGTCTGACCTGATGTTGGGCTAATACAGCCAGTCTGTCACTCCTCGCTCCTTGTAACGCCGGGGACACACCGGCCGCGGAAGCGCCGCAAAGCGCCGACAATCGAATCGCTCACGAAATTCGGCCGCTGCTCGCCGCTCCTCAGTTCAGATCAGACGCGCCCCAGTCGAGGCGCGCCTCGGCTCAGCTGTAGTTTTTCTTTTAAACACTTGGTGTCCTCCATTTCCTCTCTGCCTTTTCTCAGCTCTTTTCCTCTATGTTTGAGTGTTTGTGCGCGCGCGTGTGTGTGTGTGTGTGTGTGTGTGTGTGTGTGTGTGTGTGTGTGTGTGTGAACCTATGGTATGAGTTGTTTCTGCCAGTTGAATCTCTTGGAACCCGCTCCAATTCTGCAGCTGTATCCGAGCAGTTTCTTCCGAAATGGGTACGTAAATAACCATGTTTTTCGGGGGTCGTACAGCTCCTTGTGTTTGTCAACTTCCATAATTAATTTAAAGTCATCCATCCTAACTCCTTGCCTCAGACTTTCTGCCTCTCTGTCCTGTTTGCTCCGGTGAAAAGACACCCAAAACCGCACCCCCCCTTCACGCGGTCACACACGCACACAAGTTCGATGTGTGTGTATGTGTGTGCGTGTTCGTGTGGTTTTTCTGCAGTGTCTTATTACGAACACATTTGACTATTGCGGAATTTTATTTTGAAATGCTTTATTTTGTTAACTTTACCGGCCTGCCTCTTATGTCTACGTTTGACTTCCTGCCAGAATTGACGCGATTCACACCGCGGCACGCGAAAAAAATAGAGCCAACGTCGAAATGATCGCTGCACGGCGCGGGCTGGAGCGCCGGTGCGCGCCGGCGCGGGGCGATTCGTGGCGCTTCGGCGGCCCATGTGGTCTATAGAATAGCTTAACAAGGGCGCCGAATGAAGGCGGTCCCATTTTCGCGCCGCTTCCGCGGCCAGTGTGTCCCCGGCGTAAAGCTTATTGTCCACATAAAGCTTATCCACCGAGAGAACAGCCCTCTTCCCATCCTGGATAAACTTTTTGCGCAGCGGAAAGAGGACTCGGCGCCGATCCAGGATTTCCTTAGGGAACTGGTCATTTACGCTGAAATCTTTCCCTTTGAGCTCTCTTCCGTGAATTTTAACAAGATCCTTCTGCTTAAAATGTTCAAATTTAGCCACGATGGGACGAGGTCTTCTGCTGTCCCCTCTTTTAGCTCCAAGGCGATGTACCCGGTGAAAGGTGATGTTTTTGACCGTTTCTTTGGGTATTTTCATTTGGGTCTGGAGAAAGTTTTTTATTGTTTGCTCGCAATTCTCCGCCTCTCCCGCCTGCTCCGGCAGGCCTGCGAACACCAAATTACCCCTCATGCTACGGACTTGAAGGTCGAAAACCATCTCCTTCAGAATCGTGTCCTGGGTGATCTGCGTCATTCCCTCTTCCAGGGAAGAAACGGACTCCCGCAGAGACGCTTTCTCAGCAGCGAGCCGCTCAATCTGCTCCTGACTGAACTACAAAGATGTTCGGAGGTTCTGAAACTCCTGGTGAAGAACCTCAAGCAGATGAAGTCGCCCCTCAAATCCCAGAAGCCGTTTATCTATAGAATCTAATAATTCTAATATGTCCTTACGGGGAGTTGAGGCCTCGGGCGAGTCCTGAGGATGACTCCTCTTGGTCCCAGGAGTTTCGGTCTGAGCTGCTGATTTCTTCTGACCCATAACGAAAAATTCAAAAACTTCATCAATTTAGTTTTGTAAACTTTCTAAGGTTTCTTCACTTACCTCCAGGTTGAGTGAGTTATACTTACCAGATTATTTTTTGCGTTGTCAGTAAATAAATTAGGCAAAAATGCTTCTTAATTTTTTGTGGATGTTTGTTATTAGCTGCCATCAGCTTCAAGCGCTGCCGTGTATCCGGTGATCGGCCGTCAGCGCATGCTCAGCTAACGTTTGGCTAAAGAACCGTCCATCCAAGATTTTTATATGTCGTGAAACCTTTTGTGCACCGGCAAAGCTGATGAAAAACACTTCCTGCAGAACAGAGCTGAATTGTTCACTTCTTAAGAGTTATCTCTGAGACGCAAGCTGATTCCATCCTGTGATGCCCGGTGACATCTCTTAAGACTGGAGAAAGTCGGTGCTTACGGTCAATCTACTGGACCTGGGTGCCCTGAGGTCATCCAACCTCTTCTGACCTCCAGATCCGGACGAGGGTCATCCAAAGGGTGAGAGTAGAACACAGAGAGATTGCGTCTGAATGTGCTTTGATAACAATCAACCTCATAGTTTATTGCAAACCAAATTCTTTTTCATCCGGAGACGCCGCTCTCTGAGATTAGGAAGTTCTGACCAACACCTCATTTACACATTAGCCTACATCACCTTTAGACCCATAAGTTCACGGTAAATGCTTAGTTCACTTGTTCTGTTTTTCTTGTAATAAACTAGTTTTTATTATAAACCTGACTCTTTCGTGAATCAAAACAACGTGCATAATTGATTAATAAAGCAAAGAATCTTAGAATCTTCTGATTAAGCCCTATAATTTTCTAATATTTACAATAAAGATCAAGCAAGGTAAAATTGTTTATTTATTCAGAATATCAAATAAATAATACCCATTTGCCATTTAATGGCGTAGCCGAGCCACTCTTTATTACAATTATCCACTTCTTGTTGGTTTTTGAATTTTTGAAAACTTCTTCATGATATACTTATAACTGCACTACATCTGGGAGCACTGCCTCCCAGGTCACCCACAGTCTGCCTTTCATATCAGCTTCATTTGAGCTATACTGCAGGTAATTAATCACTTGTTGATTTATAGGTGTATTTCATTTCTGTGAGCTTGTCACATCTATGAGTGATTCTGCTACAGTGTTGTGTGCTTTGTCACTGTTTCTATGCTAGTGTAGCCGGAGGCAGGGAACTCTGCCTATCATAGCACTTAGCTACTCACTAATTCAGTCTGATCAACCATTAATATTAGCATTCAAACGCCGCATGACGGCCGTTTCTCGGACGCACATACCGGACAATAGTAATTCTGTTCATAAATCAGGATTACTCCCAGGGACGCCTGCGGCTGTTTAATTAATTACTAATTTAACTAGCCAGATATGAGCGCTGCTACCCGTTAGCTTAGATAGCCAGAACAGCTACTCTTAAGCACGAGAACGGAAGAGCGTCTGCGAGGTGAATTCTGCAACTTATACGCTATTCCGACATATTAGAGCGAGAGCCTGAGTGGTAATCCGGCAGTTGAAGTGGCTTATTGCCGTATGAGTTACGCCAAGAGACACGCTTCGAAGTCAGACGGTCTGAGCCTGTTAACCTCTTGAGCTAGGGGTAACAGAGCCGACATCGCCCGCAGACTTAGGATCAGACGGGGCTGTCAACCGGGGCTGGCGATTGCTTTTGTCATTATTTGCTACACTATACATAACGCGCTCCTTGCATGTTTTTATAGTTTGAGCTTATATTTTGACTTTGTTGTGTGAATAGCGTTGTCAACCAGGCCCACCCACTCTCACCTGCCACCTTGGCTGACTTCTATAGAATGTCTCGAAGTGTCAAGAGATTCAGTACTCGACCTGGTAGTACATATCCTGTTGATACGTATCTCAGTGACCTTAGACACCATTTTCAGAGATCTCCTGGGATGACTCTCAAGGACAAAATCTTTCTGAAAAGATTAACCTCTGATGCAGTGGGTTCATTCATTAATCACCAACAAGATGCAATTGCAAATGATTACGATCTGCTAGAAGCTGCTATTCGAAGAGAATACACTTATGATGCTAAAGAAGCTGGTTTACAATTATCTTTATCAGTGAAACAAGGCCGTAATGAGAACCCACAAGCTTTCTACCTACGCCTCTTTGACGCATACTTTGGTTCTGAGTGTAAAAAGGGGATGGAAGATGAAAGAGGTTTTAAAGAGCTCTTCCTTGACTATTTGCATCCTCAGTATGGCTCCTATATGGGTGCTGTAGACTTTCGAGTCAAATCCATGGATGATCTCAGGAGGATGACGAGTTATAGCTCCAGGCGGTTCAAAGAGTCAAATAAGTCCAAGGATACCCCTTCAGTCCTGGCGGTGGAGGCAAAACCCTCCACGCTGCGACTCGAGGGAGCTCCATATGGTAAAGGTAAGTACCACAAACCTGATGCTAAGTCACAGACCCAGAAGACCTGTTACCAGTCCAAGTCACGAGGCTCTCCCACTGACAGGTCTCGGAATTATGCCAGAGCTTGGGGACTCCCTACCGGATGGTGAGGAGGACCCTAAGTCGCCACGACTTGGTCGTGAGAAACATCGTGTCTCTTTTCAACAAAAGGGGTGGCGCATCGTACTCCTCTAGACGAGGATCGTCTCGCTCGGGCAAGCAACGGTCTCCCTCTGACCGATATTCTCCGCATCGTGGTCGCAGAGACTACAGTCCTGCCCCAAGGTCGTGAGCAGATTCTGGGAGCCAATCTCCTGGTACTACTCGCGCCGCACTCAGCGCTGCACTTCGAGAATTGTTGAAAGATCCAAAGGGGGGTGAGTCGGTTTTGTCCACCTTCTTGGTGGACACTCCTCCACCTCCTGACCTTGCTTGTGACTTGGTCATGGAGGCAGGTCCTGCAGAGGCGAAGCCTACCATGGCGGTGCATCCGGTGACACCTGTGACCTCGGTGAGGTCTGGTACGGTCGCTTCCGTCTGCGCTGGTCCTCTTGAGCCCAAGGCACCTGCCATCAAACCTGGCGAGCCTAAATCACTCAACAATTCAGTTCAATTCAATTTTATTTATATAGTGCCAAATCACGACAATAGTCGTCTCAAGGCACATAATAAACATTCCAATTCAGGTCAGTTCATGAAGCCAATCAGAAAAAAATGTTTCCTATATAAGGAACCCAGCAAATTGCATCAAGTCACTGACTAGTGTCAGTGACTTTACAGCAATCCTCATACTAAGCAAGCATATAGCAACAGTGGAGAGGAAAACTCCCTTTTAACAGGAAGAAACCTCCAGAGGATCCTGGCTCAGTATAAGAAGCCATTGTAGCGTAGTGGTTTTATGCTCTTTTATGAAAGAGGAACCATGCTACGTATTAATTCGGAATATTAATTTTTAATAAATCAATAACCAAATTTTATATTGTTCAGAAGACTCAAAGGTTGTTTTCATCGATAAACTGCCGATAATATCTGAGTGTCTGTGTTTCAGTTCAATGAGGAAACCAGTTTGAAGGATTAAAAGTTTTAATTCTTCAAATTAAACTAATGATTTTGAAAATTGACAAACAGGAAATAACAATCACATTGGCAACTTTGTGGGACAATCTTTTAACAGTTGATATGCTGTTCTTGCTCAAATAGACCTTCTGGTGAATTTATGAAGATTGAGAATGTTGTGAGTTGTGAGAGTGATATGATGTGATTATGGATGCGTGTGGGTGCAAAGTTTGGTGAGATGAGGTGAGGTGGATGCGTGTGTGCATCTGATTTTGCTTCAGGAAGAGACAGGTGTCTGAGTGAAAAGTGATGGTTTGAATAAACTTAGGTTTAGTGGAAAAGATGCATCCAAACGCTAAACACCGTGTTCTGTCTCACCGAATTCTTGTGGACCCTCTTTCGGATCCGGGCCGTGGAGGATGTTGTGGTACATCCAGATGACACCGGCGGCTGACAGGAGACGTAGGTGTCGAACGGAACCGGTCCAGAGTTGCCCTCGGTACACGTTGATGGTAAAGCGTTTTGTCGACGCGCTTTCTTAAGTTAATTCACTCAGAAATCAAAAGACTCGGTAATGAGTCTGCGTTAGAAGTTGCGATTCAGCTATTCTGCCTGGCTTGGCAGAAACAGCGTGAAAGGGGGGAAGAACGAGCCAGCCGGCTCTGCCCCCCCTTTGGTTTTCAGGTCCACTCTCTTCCGTAGTACAACACGAACAGTAATCATAAGACTGAAACTTACCAAAAGCCTTTCTCTTCTCAAAGCAAACATGTGCGTCATCAAATGTGTCTGGAGTTTACTGTGGGAAGATGTGTGTGGGTGTGTGTGAAGGTCAGTACCAAACATTCTCAACATTATTTAAGAATGGATTCATTAATCCATTATAATTACCCAAAGCATAAGAATCATTCATTTGATTAAACACATTTATAATGAGCAAAATGATAATGGTTACTTTAACATTAAAATCAAGAAAAATAAGTTTAAACTTTATGTTTTGACTTGGTCTGGGTACAACTCATGTAAACACATCTTCTGGTAGACTGCAGGTGGCTGATGTTATGGTTTCCTCCCAGACTCGCTGGCGTTCAGGTCTTAATCTGTGGGTGAAAGTTCTCAATGACCCAGCTTTGACCTCGCTGCGTCCAACACCACCATTGTGCCAGAAAAACCCATATTTCCTCACGTTACACCATCCTCCACGACTCACTGGGGATCGAGAAGACAGAGCAGACACACACACACACACACACACACACACCAAGCAACGTGTCTAATGTTACATTGTGATTTCTTAGTAAATATTATATTTGGCGAGAGATAAACTTTATTGTATTTATCCTAGTGGATATATAATTAAATGGATAAACTAGCATTAGCACATCCAATGTCAAGGAAAGCAAAGTTATCAGGAGAGGGAGAATGTTTAAGTGGTTAGCAGCAGTGTGCTAGACGATAGCCCCCTCCATGAGGCCACCACAGCTCAGCAGAACATCAATGTAGCTTCTTCTGGGGAGAAAAACACTTAGAGAAAAAATAAAGTCAACAGCTGAAATTGCAGAAAAGAATACAGTTAAAGTAGTGGTAATCCCCTGTCAGAGTCTTACTCCACCCACATTTCATATTTGAAAAATGCGGCCCAAAGAGGCGTTTCCTGTAAGACCGAGAAGGCGGAGCTACGACCGTGATTGACATACTGAAATTTGAATACAGATGGCGACGGAGAGTGACAGTAGCTCAGAGCAGTCATTCGAGGTGGAGGACTTTTCCCCACCTTCTTCCCCAGAGGATAGGGAGGAGGGCTTATTGGGGGAAGCAAGCGGTCCTGAACCGTATCTTTTTGAGCCACTAGCTCGTGAGTTGTCAGAGGCCACTGGAGCCGAGCCAGCAGGAGTATCAAGGCATCGAATGGGTCCAGTCTCTGAGTGGTAAGTAGCTTTTAGCCACAGCTAGCTATATTTAGCTTAGCTAAAAGTAATATTGTATGACTGCCTCAACAGGTGCACCTGCGGCCACTGCACATCATTGTCTGCCAGAGAAAATGTGTGCTGCAGAGAAACGCCCAAGGTATAAAAATAAAAGTACCCCACCATGAGAAAAGCATTCTGTAATGTACACATTTGTTACACAATCACTAACATCATACTAATATTGAACTCTTAGAGCCCTGATATCAGTTGTTCTTTGTCATAGGTAATGCTCAGGTGTCAGCAGGTGGGTGTAACCTCCTGCATAACTAAGCATCCTGGTTTTGAGGCTGTTGCTCTGAATCCCTACGTGTTGCAGGCAGTTATGGCACCTTTCTGCAACTCTATGGGGAGATGCAGGAGACTACGCTCAACAGGTAAGACAACTGTCAAAATAATTTTTTTATGAATACTTTGTAACTCATACCACCTCTTTCTCAGCTGTTACAGACATCTGGCGTACCGGAATGTGGTCAGGTGGTGTTGGGGTTACCTGGGACAGCACGTTCGTGTTGTGATCCCGTCATGCGCTGTCTCCAGAATAAGGCAGGAGTTCCCAGAAGACGGTGCATACAAAGGATTCCTCCCTCCTCTGAACTAATATATATTTTTTGGATTAAATAAATGTTATAATATATATTTCCTGTATTGATTCCTGTCCATAATAAGCTGCATAAATCACAAAACGGTAAATGCACTTCTTTACACTTTGACATTATTTATATATACACACATATAGCCACACACTTTCAAATGAGCTCTTACAACAGTAAGGTTCTAATTCGGGGTTAATTAATGCTGCTGTAACAAGTGAGTTTACACCCTGTGTGATTAATGAAGTCTATTCTAGAGCAGGTTCAATTAGGTAAAAATGAATGATAATTTAATAAATGTGATATATGTATTTATACACATCAAAATATCAATATAATTGTATTTAAAATGACACAATTGCGCTTTAAAGATAACATTTATTATAGCTACTACTAAGACAACGTTAGATTACAATCTGATCATAACTTTCATGATTTTTGACAAAACTCTAAACCACAAGCAGAGATTCTGGAGCCATGTGAATATAGGTTGGGCCATCAGTGATGTTTCTTTGGTTCCTTAGACTGGAGGTAGCTTTCACTGTGATGACAAACGTGGAGATGGATCCCGGGAGCACAGGCTTTTCTGTAACAATATCAGGAGGCTCTGAGGAAAAAAGTAATATTAGTATGACTAGTATGACTTACAAAAGCAAGACTGGTGAGTTTTGCTATGTTACATACGGCCAAGATTTTCAAGTTGTATGGAAGCCACAGAGCAGAAAGGTTGTAGAGATCAATAGACATCTGGGAGGTGGACAGCATGAGTCACGAGTGGATGAGCATAAAGATCCATAATGACGACAGGTAACTCCTCTGTCGTACAGTGGTGTGCAGCCTGGCTGAGGAGGAGAAAAGGAAAAACCACACAGAGTAGAGTACTAACTAATAATTACAATCTCTTGTTGTGTAGCTCACCTTACGTGCACTTTAAAACCTGGACCTGTGCCTGCTCACAGCATCCCGTTTATCTGGTCTTTGGAACTGGGCACAGAGAGGTTCTGGAACCGGAATTTTGTCCGAGTACTCCTGATATGGGAGAGGATCCACCACCACAGAGTCAAACAGCAGATCCATAAGCTTGTGCACATATACTGGAAAATGGTTTTCAGTATTACAATAGCTCTCCATGACATCATTTTGGTTTTATCATACAATATCTGACATACATGAGGTTGGATTGGTCTTCAGGGCTCTCACTGTGTAGTCTCCATGTTTGTACTTTGGGTACACTACAGCATATCTCAGCTCACCAGTTGCTGTTGCTGCATGTGAGCGTGCTGCATTTTCATTATAGTGCATTGCAGCAATTTGTAATCTGAAATAATCAAATAAACAAACCATGTAGATTTTAGGCAAAATTCTACATTTCATTTAGCCTGAAAAAAAAAAATAGAAGCACATTGTTGTTGTTGTTTATAAAGTCAGATAATATACAAAAGAAACTGTCCGAAATATATATATATATATATATATATATATATATATATATATATAGGCGCTTTATGACATTCCTAGTGTGTGATTGTTATTATAACGTAAAAGTCAGTCACATATGATGTGAAGAACCTGAAATGCGACCTCCTGAACAGAATTCCTCACAGAACCGGGTTAGGCTTTGGTGTAAAGCTGGATTTCACGCTGTAATGATGTCTGTCAACTAGTGCTGCGTTAGAGCCACTGTTGCTGAATTACCGACTGACACAAAAACAACCCGGATTTTCTCCGAGCCTGACAGAAATAGTCATGTGGACCTTTTTGTCGGCCAGGGCTTCGAGAAATGTTCCGATTCGCCGCTGATTCTAACCTTACATCCCGTTCCACATTTTGTGAACTTGACAATTTAGCCCGAAGGCAGTGCAGGCTGATATTAGCTAAATGGAGTGAACCACGTCTCTCAAACTTTGCATTTAGGTAGGGAATTGTCTTTAGAAGATGTTAAAACGTTTATTTAGCTTACTCACCTCAGACTGGAGCCCGCCATGGTGGGGGAGCAGAGTCGGTGGGCTGCATCTAATTCGTGGAAGAGCCACGGTGGGCACGGCCTCACTCTTCAAACGGAGACGTGCAGAATAACCCAGTTCAAACTCCATCATGTTGGCGAAGGAATCGCGGGTAAAATGCTGGTTGCAGACTACAGCACCAGGCGGGAGCTGACTGTTATCCTGTACACCGATTGCGCGCAACCACTGGCGCCTAATTTCTAAGTCCAGTGGAAAGGAGTGCAACCCCACAGAGCTACCACAACCAACTACACTACACCTTTTAACCATACTAACACTATATGGAACACTAAACCCAAATTATTTTCCTAATAAAACTAACAGCTAAACACTAACTAAACTACAATATCTTAACAGCCAAGCTGACACTAAATAAGTACTAACACTATATAGAGCACTAAACCCGAACTACTTTCCTAGTAACACTAAAAGCCAAACACTAACTAAACTACAATATCTAACAGCCAAGCTAACACTAAATAAGTATTTATAACACTAAAAGCTATGCTAAAGACTAGAATATGCTAATGATATATGCTAATGCTGAACTACCGCTAACCGTCCGACACTCACTTGCAAATCCAACTCCCAACTCGCCACAAGGCGTGGCCGAGACTCTCGTTGCTTTATAACTTTGGCACAAGAGCTGCTACGTAGTACTCTACTGGTTTACGTAGTATCTTACTCTTTAGCCATTGGCTAAAATTTATTCAAAATGTGTCAAATTCTGTGTTTTAAGCTGAAGGTGGCGCATTACTGTGGTTTTTAGGCTGAATATTTAATTTTTAAAGAAAATGCACCAAAATGCTAAAATAATGAATACACACATTTAAAACACTATTAGACACTCATTTATACAGTTCATCAGCAAAAAAAAGTTAATTTAGACGTTACTTGCTCTTTAAAGAGCAGATTGTAGAAGAAAGTAGTAGAGTGTGGAAAGTGGTCAGTGTGTCCTCCAGCAGTCTAAGCATAACTACAGAGATAACTCTGGATAACCTAGCCTTTTTAAATTGAGGCATGTGGCAGGCAGGGCAAGGGAGAGCCATCTTTACCGACTGTACACTCTACCTCCCTCTACTCCCCCACTTGTCCAGATCTAGGCTAACATCAGATTTTAACCATAGGCCCTATCAAATAAAAATGTTTTAAGCCTATTCTTAAAAGTAGACAAGGTGTCTGCCTCACAGACTATGGCTGGGAGCTGGTTCCACAGGAGAGGAGCCTGACAACTAAAAGATCTGCCTCCCATCCTAATTTTAGATATTCTGGGAACCACCAGTAAACTTCCACTAAGACTTCTCTGCAATATCATCCGGGGTGGTCTTAATGAGAAATGTACTGAAGTGATGAGAGCCCAATGTTCCCTTTCAGCACGTTTAAAGCAATCTCACACAGAGCATGCACAACATCTGGAAAAAAGCTTTGTAAAAACTTGTGACGTTTCTGGGGGCTCATGCGGGACAAGGCCTTGAGAATCTTTGCATTGCGTTTTATCCTGGATGACTTTCTATTTTAGGCAAATATACCATGGGCATTTGATGGAAGTATTCCGCTGCGCAGCCTTAGACATTCTGGTGTTTCCAGTTTCAAATCCACTATTAAATAACCGTGAGGGTCCTGGCTTGTGTCTTGGAAACTTTCGAGAAAATATCTTTGAGTAGGATAGATTTGATTTGCTAAAACATTTATTTGCAATTTATCTCGTGGGTTTTTAAACAAAATAAAATAATTACTGTTTAGACTGATTGATCTGTTATTTTTACCTTGATGAAAGACATTTTGTGTGAGTTCAAAAACATTACATTTGGCGGTCATGTCTGTACTGAGTGAATAATTTTAACACTTCCGGGCGGTCAGACATCTGCATCATCAGATCGTCTAAAATTATCAAATGAGTTTGTTCAGGTGGAAACATTTGATCGTCATCGAATGAAGAAGGGAGACCTTGAAAAAATCTAATGCTTTTATTATAAAGTTTCAGATCATCATACATTTTCTGATAAGAAGTAAAAAACCAAATGATATTCTTGGGCATTTCAGTGATATATTCGAGACAAGTTTCCTAAATACTTTTTACAAAAAGTTTTCCCACAGCCTGATGGTCCTGCATTCAGAGCGCTGAAAGGGACTTTCAGTCTGGGGTCAAAATGAGTTTCCATTTTCACAAATGGAAACTCATTTTTGGCATTGTATTTTTTAAGTTGTGTCCATCGGTTCTTCAAAATCCGTGCATACCACAGGAATAAAATTGCAGTTACTATCAAACATAACGGATGAATGGCCTTGTCCCTGTAACTTGCTCCTTGAAACTTTTATGAAAAATCTGATGCGAGGTTAAGCCATTCTCATCATTACGTAATTCAAACGTTGATTTCAGCAAAAGTACGTTTTTCGGATCAAAACTCATTTCACCTCTCTTGTCTTTGAAAAGGATCTCCAAATAGCACTAAAGGAGAGGGGGGTAACTGAATAAAAGGGGACCTGCATGAGGGGAGTGTCTGAATGTAAGGGGGTCGGCACCCCGCGGCTCTTCCACCCATCTGATGCGGTTGTAAAATAATGAATGAATGTTTAAATAAAATGCTTTATATTTTACTGAATTAATTTTATGTCTGTATGCCAATTCTAAATGTAAAGATTGTCTGTGTAAACCTGAACAGGCACGCTTGGGCGTTATCATATAGGCGCTTTTTGAGCTGAAGAGGATGTGAGATTCTGGGGTTCTCCTCAGACAGGGTCTTGGATGCGTTGCCACATTGGAGACAAGAACAAGCGCTATTCACCCAAAGTTTCATAATCTCTGAGAGACAGGGTTTGGAAAACACTTGCTTCAGTGTGAAGAATCTCCCCTCATGCGCTCTGGTTCTGCGACGCACTCCGAGCCCCCTCCAACGTGGCAGAGCCTAGATTTGCATTCTGAACATTTTAATCAAGTTTTAAAAGGTGAGGTGTGTGACAAAAGTGGCACCTGCTCCGTAAAACAACTTAACAGGGTGAAAAATATCGAAATATTGTAGGCAGAGACGGAGTACAACTTCTGGATCCATTTTATACACATCATTTTATTGATTATCTTCTGTTGAAAGACAACTTTGACGTGCACAGTGACCGGTATTGGTTGGTGTCACCTGTTGTGATTGATTAAAGCAGCTCTCTGCTGCTGTGGCAGAGGAGGGGAGGAGAGGGGCTGGCTGGATGAAAGGAGTCCTGTGTGTGTGTGTGTGTGTGTGTGTGTGTGTGTGTGTGTGTGTGTGTGTGTGTGTGTGTGTGTGTGTGTGTGTGTGTGAACTAACAACTTCATTGAGAACTGACACTGTGTGCTGAAACTGATTAATACCTTTTAAACAGCCGACCATGGTTGGAGGGAGGGATGAGGGGTGTTACGTCATGTGGGAATGGACTGGGTTGACACAAAAGCTCTAGAGGGTGACATCAATTTTGACATAAGGTGGTTTATATAAAACAATTCATACATTCAAGGTACCTCATCAGTCTATCTTGACATAAAGGGGGGTGCGAGGGGGGACATAAAACAACAAAACTGTCAAGTTTGATATAAGGGGATATGGGGGAGAGGTCACTAAAGGTCATAAAACTGTCAAGTTTGACATAAGGGGATATCGGGGAGGTCACTAAAGGTCATAAAACAACAGAGCTGTCAAGTCTGACTTAAGGGGGTGTGGGGGTGGTGAGGTCATGAAGGTCAAAGAACAATAGAGCTGTCAAAAAGCTTGACGAAGGGTGGTTCTTTATACTCTCTGTCTAGGCATAGAATGTGTTTCTAGGAGCTAAAGCTTGTTGGCTGCATCTCACCTGTTCCATCCACACTGACAGGAGAAATCCTTTCATCGGCATCAGGTGATCAACAAAGTGTCAAGACTGAACACCAGCCCAAAAAAAAAGAAAAAGAAAAAGATGACTTAAAACACTGGCCAGACCGGCCCACTGGTAATTTCCCCAGTCTGAAACTGGTTACCCCCGCCATCCCCGTTAAGCAGGAGCTGGTCATCACATTAACCCTCATTGTTACACCAGAGCTTGGCTCTGTCGGCTCTTATTAGTGCGACTTTATTCTACAAAGTTTTCATAAATAAACACTAGGGCTGTAGCGAAGCCTCGATGACGTTGACGGCTCGATTCTAAAAATTTGTCGACGTCAGATCCAGTAGTCGACGCACCACGCCCACTTGTTGCATCCAGGAGTTTGTAAATAGAGGTGGAATCTGCCTGTTTTTCCTCTAGTTCGCCCTCTTCTCCGCCTTCACTAACATCTCCGCCAAATACCGAAGACCCGGAACAATGTCCGTCCACTACTAGATTCCTTTCCTGTTTTGCCCGCCTTCATCTCCCGGCAACGGACAACTTCCGGGGTCAGATGCGCTGCTCCTTCTCTACCGCAGATGTAGAAAATCACCAGGAGCGTTTCTCCCTTCATAAGGGAGCTTCTTTCAGACATTAGGAGA